CTACCTTCTTCCCAAGATGAGTTTCCGTAATTCATTAACATAGCCTCGGTCTAGCAAAGGTGCCCAGTTCATTTTATCTAATTCCCTTTTTGTTTTTCTTGACAAAGCCCCAGGCTGGTATCTTCTCAAATCAAACGGTTAAAGTTCATTGAAAAAAATCAAATATGCATCCGGAATTTTGTTTCATTTTAAATTCAAGATTATAAACTTCAAACCTGCTGGACAGCTGTTCTGTATTTATCTAGTAAACTCATATTTCTACCTGACAAAGACTCTCTTAATGACCAAACTCTGAACAGGTTTCTCTGAGTCCTTTTGTGACTAATCCCTGACCTTGGGCTCTGTCCTTGGCCAGCTTATCCAGTTTTAGCAAGAATCCTGCTGAGTCAGTTTAGAAAAATCCACCACCCTTGATATCCGATTATCCTGTATTATCTGATCAAATCCCTCATCCCCCCACTCTAGATATCTTATCACCCTGGCCTGCCTTCAGCAAGAATCCTGTCAAGTTGGTTAAGTTAGAACCCTCCTTACCATTGATGTTTCCTTCCTCTTAGTAATTTTCCATCCACTGACCCCCACCTTGCTTCTTGTAAGTCTCCACTTGTCCATGTTGTATTGTGAAGTGAGCCGATCTGTCTTCCCTGCTGCTAACTGCCTCCACTACTGCAGTGACTCCTCACAAATAAAGTCTTCCTTACTGCCTTTAACAAGTGTAATGAACAATTTTTTAATACAAGATGACATATTTCATACTTTCTTTCAAACTTCCACATCCTCTTTTCTCCCCTTGCTCTTAGCTGATAACCTTGGCTGACACTTCATTTACATTATAGAAGCTCTTGGTCAGTCAAGAACTCACTCCCCCTTCTCACCACCAAATCTACACACCTACCTGCCTCTTCACCAATCTTCTCTTTCCTGTCTCCTGTGATAATGATGGAACTGTCCCTTCTCTAAAAAGTTTCAATCTTCCCATCCTTTATTGCCTTGTCAAAGAATTTAGTTCTTCCCTCATTCTCTCTTTCTCCTCAATCAATAAACTCTTCTTTATATGTGGATGAACCCCATTACTGTTAACATGCTCCAGAGTCTTCCATACTGAAAGAAGAGAAGGAAATCTACCTTGACTCCACCTCCTTCCCAGCAGCTACTGTACCATGTGCTTTCTTTCATGACCAAATTTCTCAAGGATTTGTCTAAATGTGAGATCTCCACTTCCTTATCTCCCAATCATCCCTCAACCTATTCCAATGTAGCTTTTACCTCCAGCATTCCATAATGTTGCCAAGTGAACACTTAATCCAAAATATTTTTTTCCTATTCTTATCTTACTAGACCTCTTAGCAATATTCTGCACAGTTGACCATTTCCTCCTTCCTGAAGTAGCTTCTTTCTTTAGCTTCTGAGGTACCACAGTCTCTGTTTTTTCCCTACCTCTTTGGTTGTTTCTCACTTCCTCCTTTTGTCATGCCTTTAAATGTTGACATTGCTCAGATCTCTAGCTTAGGATTCACTTTCTTCTTTCTGTACAGATTTTTTCTGGGTGATTTTTTTTCCTGGAAAAGAAAGAAATGTCTTTCAATACCATATATATGCTGATAAGCCACAAATTTATGTTCCCAGCCCAGACCATATCTCTGAGATATCCATAGATGTCTAAATTCTAACATGTCTGGAACTGAACTTTTGCTCTTCCAACTCCATCAACTGTTTCTCTTCCTCTGTATTCCTCATCCTGTAGTCCTTATTCCCAGCAACCTGGGACTTGTTGACTCCTCCTTCTGAGTCACTACCCACAGCCTATCCATCTCCACATGTTAACAATTCTATCTTCACTGTCCACTCAAATCCATCTTCATTTTCTCATTTTGACAGTATCCCTCTAGTCCAGGCATCTCTTTACTGGGTCTCTATAGTCATCTCCTAATTTATTTCCTTGTCTCTATAGTTATCTTGTTCCAATCTGTTTAAAACAGGGCATCCTGAAGATCTTAAAAATGAAATTGATAATGTCACTCCTCTGCTTAAATCCTTCAGCAGTACCCCCTTATGTTTAGGACTAATTCACGTCCAAGCACAAACTATGCCCTCTCACAAGTTGGTTACAACTCATGAGCCACCATCACCCTCACTCATCTTGCTGCATTCACACTGGCCTTCTCTTACTCCTTCAAACAGGAATGTTCTTCTTTTGTCTGGAACACTTTTCCCATACCATCTGTGTGTGGCAGCTTCATTCTTCAGGTCTCAGATTACAAATGTCTTTCTCAGAGGCACTATTATTTTCTTTAATACAATATATATTTTAATTGCTTGCTAATTCATTTTTCCTCCCATTTCCTCCCCAGACTAGACACTCCATGGAGGCAAAGATAATGTCTTTTATTCACAAATGGAGATACACTCAGCATCTACCAGTGTCTGGTATGGGATGGGTTTAATAAGAATTTGTTCAATGACTGAATCCAGAATTCTAGCTGACAAGATCTTAGTGCTTCTTTGACTCCCATTTTAGTCTCTGTGAAATTCAGTAGTGTGATTCTGTAGATTGGTGGGAGATGTCTATATTAGTTACTACTTTGTGTCTTCTTACACTTAACTATGCCACTAACCATGGTAAGTCAAGGGAATCCCTATTCCTTGATCAGCTTGATTAAAATAATATCCTTTAATGATATCTACCCACCTTACCACCTCTTGGAATTCTCACCATATAAGTCAGTTTTTTTTTCTCTTTCAAAATCCATTTCACAGCTATTTTGTCTGATGAAAGTGGGATGAAAAGGAGAGGAAGAAATCTTATTATGATATATAATTCTGTTCACACTGAATAAAAATTCAGAAATAGCTAGCCTATTTAGGCTATATATTCTTTAGATTTAAAAAAAATGAGATGGAATAAAATATATGTTGTAATAACCATAGAGGAGAGCCCATGGATCTCTATATTTATAGAAATGTAAAGATGTTAGTATGAAATGTATACAAATATATCATATTAAGTATGCCGAGTACTTTCATCAAAATGTTCTTTTCTAAAATGACAATTATTTTTGTATTTATTACCATTTCAGTAGTTTAATATATTTAAAAAGAACATGTACATGAGTGGTAATTGACAATGGTGTTATTTTCCTTACAGTCTTAAAAACATATTCAAAAGTAAAAGTTTACTGGTAAAACGTCTACAGCATCGTGACAAGAATTCAATTTATTTAATTAGAGAGCAGACATTTCTCTTAGGATTATAGCAACCTATGACTAGGATTATTCAGGTGCCAGCATTATTAAATAATAGAGTCGAAAGAAAAATCAGTGTAACATTTAAAATTCACTTACATGCTAAATTGTAATAGAGAGAAGGAGAACATAAAACAATGTCGAACCAAATTAAGGGCTAAGCCCTCACTTTGTGAAGGCTAGAAAGAAATGCACAAATTTCTTCCCCAGGTTTTCACTGTTTTGCTATGGACAGTCTGGATTAATTAGAAAATGCAGTGCACTTTTTCTTAACAGAAGAAAAAAAAACTGAATCAGCTGAGAGATAAGAAGAATAAACACTGAAATCAACATTGCAGCCGAAACTAAAGTAACTGAAGTGAGAATGTTTTCATAATGAACTTTTATGTTTAACAAGCCCAGACACTTGGAACAGTGTAAGCTATATTAAACCCTTTTATGAAAGGATTATGTTTTGTATGATGAGTGTTTTAATATAAGTATAGTACACAGCGTAAAATACAACTACATTTAACTCAAAGTAATTACGAGAACTCAGGCAAAATTATTTTCTCCTGTACTATCGATATAGGAAAGAAAATTCTTCTGGAACCTTTTCCCAACGTGTCTCTGTTTCAATTATTTTTGGCAGTATATATATTGCGTCTCTGCCTCCGCTACCTTTTATATCGACAGTTGGTAGCACAAGCCTTTTAACGCACAAAGGGTAGCAGCTCTTCAGCCAATCTGTGATAAAAGGGAAAAAATGAAATCACTATGGAAACTGCGGGAAGGATCTAAAAGCTCTCTTTATAAAGTAAACGTCTGATGTTTGTGACTGCAGGGGTAAAAAATTCATAAATCTGTATGATGCTATCATTTCTGATTTGTTATCACTGCAAATGCCAACTCGAAGCAGACTGACCTTAGCTTCATTAAGTGCTGTCTGTTCAGAAATAGTTACTATTCAACAGGAGGAAGACGTGGTCTGCAGAGAGGTCAGGGGTTTAAGGGAATAGTGTGGGACGGAGCGAAGAGACTAATTTGCTTAGAATGTTTCCTTTCTTTTCTCATTGGATTGTCTCTTTCTTTTAAATCACAGTGACTTGATGGAATCAGCCACACTGAATTTTTTGCTCTATGTTTTATATTGGGTTGTTTTTCACTCAGAAATTGGGGCAAATCTCAGACCCAAATTCAACTTAGAAAACTATGTCTGTCTTTGATTTTGAGCTGAAAAAAAAAAAAAAAAACGAAAAACAACTAACCCTCTCCAAAATAAATACCAGGGAGAAGCCATTCTCACTTCAGCACCCTGGACCCCAGGCAGAAAAAAGGAAGGAGATCGTGACTGTACAAACTCTGATGAATTTGATCCGTCCACAGCCAGCAACAGACACCTGTGTCAAAGAAGAAGTTTCAGAATATCTCATCAGTTCTCAGAAGTTAAGTGACTTTTAAAAGAGAATCGTATGGGTGTTAAAATAGGGAGCTTTTTATTTAATAATAGTTCACCTATGGAGAAGGGACTCTGGGGTCAAGAGGAATGTGAAAAGTCTCAAATGTGAAATTCTGCGAATTTGAGAGTAGTCTTAACTTAGAGGAAGATGAATATTCAAGTAAGTAAACCAGTTTTAGCACTGCATAGGCTGCTTCACTTATTATTTTCAGTGTTTGCAATTGAATACTGTATCATTAGCTAGATTTTCAGGCGATAGAAACTGTGGCTTTTTTTTTAACTTTATGGAAACTTTACTTCAGTTGTAATGCATTGAAATATCAAAGACTGATGTGCGTGGTAATTGATTTCATATCATCATGCTGTATTTAGAGAATTATAAACATTGCTAATCTAATGTTTCAGGGTATTTATGAACAATTAGCAGTTCTGCACTAGCATCTCAAACACACTTTTGATGATAATAATATACTGAGATAAATTCTGTAAATCCTAAAAGGGCTGTTGTATAAATGATGATTAGAAAAAAATTAGAGTTTGTTTTTTTTTTCCTGGTGAAATGAGTAAGGCTTTGAAAATAAAAACAGGAGTATTCTGGTGGTGAGCATGCAAAAATGCAGCACAATTAGCAGGGAGAATTCTTTGCTTTATAATAATATACTTGTTCAAAATTAAAGACTATGACATCCACCATTCTAACTTTATTGAACTTCTACTACTACTACTGACTAGCTTGGCTGTTTGTGCAGCCTTTACAATTTCCACAGTGCTTTCTCCCAGGTCAGAAGAGCGTTAGTGGTCAGTGATACCAAATCGAATGGAAGTGTGTGTTTGTGTACTCAAACAGAAATCCATGCAGACTTTTATTTGAAAATATTTAAATGCCTCATACATACCAACTTCACTGATGCTTTTTGTGCATATAATGAAAACCAATTATCTGTGGAGAAAACTTGACTGGGTGGAAGGAAATTAAATTGGTTTTTAAAGACTTCCTTAAACAGCAGTAGCTAGGGAAAGCTCCAGTAACGCTTTCGCTCAGGACTGTAATGCCTTTGCCATATTCATTAATCATGCTTTATCCTGACTTTTATCAGAAGACTTGGATGGGGAAGACTGCACATGACAGGAGGCGAGAAGAGCACTTTTAGCGGAAGCTGTGCATGTCTCGGGGCCGCTCTCCCCGTTCCTGTGACACTCTGGGAACAGCTGCTGGAGGAGTCAGGTAAGTCCTAATTCACTCAAAGAAAATATCTGTCTACTAACAAAAACTTCTAATGGTAATTTCTGGAAGGAAATATTCATGTTCTGGAATATGCTGTGACTTTTTTTTAAATGTGTACGAAACAAATGTGAGGAAATCTTTACCAACTTGTCTGCCTAATTTCCTTCGGGGAGTTTCCCAGCTTCTGTCAAATGCTTTTGTGTTGAATATCAACTCTCATCAATCAGCTCCATGTAATTTTTGTTGTTGTTGTGCTATGAGTCCGAGACCACTTAAGAGGCCATTTATGGAAACGTGGAAAACATACCGTTTCATTTACACATGGAACAATGCAAATACTTTCCCTTTGTTACTATTCAAAATATTAAATTCTGTTCTCTGTATGTACTGTTCTCAGAGTTGACTTCTAGCAGCTACTGTAGAAGAAGGAAGGCAGAATACACTACCATTACCTCAGAATATCTGATTACTTACTAATTGATGAGTAAAGTACTTCATTGAGTTTTCCCAAAGCCAAATATTTATCTAATTTAAACTCTGTGTCAGAAAATTATGGAAGCAGACTCTATATATATATTATTGTGCTGCAGTGAGGGGGGCTTGTTAGGGAAAATGCATGCTTTTCCTCCTATTAATTATCAAATGGCCAGACTAGTACATGTTGCAGGAATTTGGATGGTGTAAAGTAGCCTCTAATACTTTCCATTAAATTTTCACTGACTTTTCAGAACAGTGCTCTTAGAAATAGGGTTTTCATTTAGTGAATTAAATGGAAACCTAAGCAGCATTTACCCCATCCTGGATCTTAAATACTAAGAAGTTTATATATTTCATGATGTGTTTTCGAATCAGCCAGTTGTATGATCGGATTTGTAAGATACTGTTTTTGAATATAATCATAGCAATATTTTCCTCTCACACCGCACAGAAATTTCATCTCTCAGTTCTCTCTCTCCCCAGCTCACGAGAAAGTAAAGTTCTGTGGAATAAATCCCCAGGGAATATCTTTATGGCACTAAATACCCAGGGTCTACAGGGGGTTTCCGAAGTTGTTCACAGTTTTGTATTGTTTTCTTTCTACTGGAAGTACTTTGTGATACTGCCATGAATTGCCACCTTGGAACCGTCGGAAATCCCAATTCTACACGAGCTCTCACTCTAAACCAGAATTCACTCTCTAATCTCAAATCGGCCAACTGAGATAAGACAAAAACTTTTAATTAGAATTTTAATATGTAATCCAAGCCATTTATAGATTATGCACAGAGGTGATCTTCTGTGTATTTAGATAACTGTGTGGAGAACTTAGATAATGTTTAATTTGGTGGAGAGACTATTTTTAACTTTGCTGGAGTGGGGTTACCTGCTACTTTCCGGGAGAGTCTCTTAGAAGTTCTATCAGTGTGAGGTTTATTGTGTGAATGAGTAACTGTAGCAAGTCTTGGGGGGAAATTATAAAAATTGAACTATTCTGTAATATAAAGAAGATACTCTGTTTTCCTTTCACATTTCTTCTGGGAAACCTAATTTCATGTCTCTCAATTCAAGCTCTGTGGATGAAAAGAGAGAAATAGCCAGTTGAGACCCAGGGGAATTAGCCTACCCCTTGCTACTGTTAATGAGTGGTACCTCTAACCTCATGTGTTTATTCCTCAAAACCCAGCATATGAAACAGTTTTTTTTCCTTCTCTTTCAAGAAACAGTTGGCACTTTATGTTGGACTTCTGCTTGACATGAATTATTTGGCGAATTGGTGACTGAAGTGTGAATTATAAACTTAGGGCTGTGTAATAAGCTTCAGGGGTGTTCTACAGACAAAGACATCCTAGTAGGAAGTTTAGAAAAAAAAACTTTATTAAGAAAAAAACAATCTTTCCTGCCTCTCATGAAACAAGGATTTAAAAAAAGATGTGTACCTTGCTCAAAGACTGATTCGCAATTACACACACGCACACACACACACTATGCAGGAGTGTATCCTCTGCTTTTTATTTCCATGTGCACATGACTCTCATTAATGTTGATAACCCTCTGCACATGCCTCCAGAAAATAATGGACCCCGACTGTGAGAACTGTCTGTATTCAAACATGTTAAGAGCTGAATATTTAAAATCTGTTTGGCACACCAAGCTTGGTTTTTTGAAGACAACAGAAGTTGGACAGAAAGATCAAAGGGGGAAGAAAAACACTGCAAAAGATAATGACATCTGGATGGGGCCTGGGTAATGCTCTAATTAAATGTACTTACACCTAAGTCTTATCACATGCTCAGGAGCAGAGCTTAGATGCCCCTTTTAAACTGCAACATTAGAGGCAGTCGTGGGAGCCTTGCCTGGGAGCTGTCACCTCCCCTGTGATCTAGCTCAGTTCTATATGTGTACCTATAATCTATCTTCCTTTCTTTCACTGATTGGGCTTCTGCTATTTTGTTCTTAAGATAGTCATGATCAATTAGGTTATCCCTTAAGCTTACAAAGATATGCATGTTCTTTGAAATGGGCTTGAAAAAAAATCAGTTTACCCCACCTGGAGAAAACAGGCTACGGGATTCTCTTGTTCCGTTGCTGTCTCATAGGTGAAGATGAGCTTAGTGAGAAGCCTTGCACACGTTTCTCCCTGTTCAGGTGAAGTCTTTTGACATCCTTTCCCTTCTGAACATAACAGAAGCTTTCCCAGAGGACAGAACACAAGGTAGACTTCCAGAAGGCGCCAAGTCAGGGGATTTTAACTTCTGAAAGAGTTCTGAAGCCTGTATTAATGGCACAGAGTTCAGTGAAATTAGCATGACTTGAACTGGTTTCAGAATTCTGGCATTTAGGATAAAATACAGTGTGAAAGGAGGAAACTGTATTTGCTAGGTCTTCTTTCTTTCTTATTTTAATTGGGTTTTGAGACATCATGATGCAATCTCTTACTAGGTTCTTAAAAAATAAATAAAGCACCCTTAGATATTTAGAAGAAGCTTCCAGACAGTGCATAGACATAGAGTGCATATCTCATTACCATTAACAGCCATGCATGGCTAAACCTCCCCCTGTTGCTTTGAGTATTTACCCTCTGGCTTTGTAAAGTGATGCTTGAGTGTGGGCTTTCCCAAGAAATTTCATAACAATTTTATAGACTCCACAGCACACCTACTAAATCAGAATATGCACATTGTTTCTTGAGTAAATGTTAACAATGAATGAAATTGGTGTTCATTCTAGAAAAAGTCCAAAGTGCTTGTCTAGTAAGTCTGTGGGAGAAGTATGAGTCCACCTCTTATTTTAACTCAGCTTGAGAAGCTACTTTTTCTTTTTCTTTTGTTTCTCCATTCCCTGCCTTCTAACACTGTTAAACAATCAAATGCAAGGCATTTTGCCTTCTTTCACTCTTCAGGAGAAAATTAATACACAAAGGTGAAGGTTAGAAACGCACTGTAATCTAGAAAGGTCCAGAAATTAAGAGAATCAAATGTACTCTCTGGATCTCGGGATCCATTAGGGAGAATATAGAACTAGTTCTTTTTCTCTGAGCTTCCTTAATTTTGTTTTACTGCTTTAGGCATAATTGGAACACTGGCGAGGCTTTGAGGAAGGGAGGTGTTTCGGGGGTGCTTGAGATATCTAGTGAAGTCTAAAAAGAGAAAGACCAAAAAGACTCCAACCCCCAGGAAAACGGAAGTATACTGGGGCAGATTTTTGTGCAGGATGAATTCAGTGTGCCACACACCTCTGCAAAATGTTGGGACCCTTTTGGCTCAGGTAAGCCCATTCATGTTCTAGGCTACTTTGAATAAACCCAATTTCTGTCTTCCTTTTAAAATTGGCTGTGCTGTTCATCTTAGATGTTAAGATTTTCTTTTACTTGCTAAGTCTTCCCCATGTGATCTAATGCTTCATTTCTTCCCAGAAAAATAAGATATTTGCATCAAATTCAGCATTTCAATAATAGTAGTGGAAAGTCCCTCTTTGCCAAAGGTACTGGGTTAGTTCCTGCCACGAGCTCATCTGCATCATCTCCATTTATTTCTCGTGGGTGATGAGAAGACCTTTGCATTTGACCAAAAAGCACTAGTAAATAAGGAGTTAAAATGAAGGCAGGCTCACTGGTTTGCTGAGATCTGTCAGAGTCTGACTGGCTGGCTACATATCTGTCTCTGGAACAATAGGTACCTGTATTCTGCACGGACTGCTGGGCAGCACTGACACTCTGGAGAAGGTCTGCCTCTGTCTGCGCTTTCCTGGTGAGAATCCCCAATGACAGTTCCACTTTTCAGTGGAGGAGAAAAAAATATCTGTCTACTCTCTTGATGAAGGACAGAGCTTTGATCATTTTTATTCAGGCTTGTCTTGGCTGGAGGTTTCAGGTTCTTAGTCTCAAGTCAGCTGTCTCTCCCTTTCTCTCCCTCTCTCTCTCTCTCTCTCCCTCTGTCTCTCTCTCTCTCTCTCTGTCACACTACACACACACACACACACACACACACACACACACAAACACCCCTCTCCCTCTGTCTTACTCTCTCACTCTCTCTCTCTCATTTCCCCTTGTAGGTTGCGTGCAGGCAGATGAGTGCCACAGCTGTAACTGAGGCACAGAGCAATAAACAGAGTGGAGCCAATTTCTACGATGGCAAGAGGGGGCATCGGAGGTGACAACAACGACAAGGACTCAAGGACCGTCCTCCTGACAAGTTTTAGGTAAGACCATATTTATGCCCCGATTCTTGTATTTTTGCATCCTAGTGGCTGAGAGAGACGTGGAGCTAGAAAGCGAGTCTCGGGTAGGGAAACATTTGCGTGAGAGTATCATCTGCTGTCACTTGCCTGCAAACCTGTGTTCTCAGGGCTTTGTGTTACTAGAATCATCGGGGTGAGGTGTGAGCAGGGCTGGGCAGAAGGGTGAGTTGCTTTTTATGTCTGTCTGGTGACATTTATCATGCTGTTTAAATTCATATCTGGAAAAAATCCTGTTTGATGATAGTTAGCAGTGTTTTGTGCAACGTAGAGCATATGGCCATGTAGAATTCCAGTGATGCTCTTTCATTCTTAATTTCTAATTATTTTTACACTCAACTGTACTGAGGTCAGAGAGTTTTAAAAATTAATGAGATTCCCTGTGGAGTTCAAATAGTACTGCCTACGTGAGCTGCCACAAAAAAGATAAGATGTGCTTGGTGCATTTTTAACATAGATTTAACTGACTTACGTTGAACATACTCTATTTGAAATATCTGAATTGCACAATAGTTTATGGAAGCTTAAGTATTTGGGGATATTAATGTTTAAAAATTTTTTTTCATGTCCTGGAGAAATTTTTGTCAAAATTAGACTGTAAAAGATGAGTATTTTGTGTGGAGATACTGCAAAAACTTAATAGATATTATTATTATGGCAATGGAGAATACCTTTTACTTTCGAGGAAATGACAAATAATGAATGAGGCACATGCTAAGTAAATCTGCAAATTGCTTCATCTTAAGAAATATATCACAATTCAGGAGATATTTAAGGCAAAAAATTGCTAGCACGAACAAAGAAGCAAGTGTACACATAGATGAGAATTCTTTGTCACAAAAATGAATCCAGGGCATGGATTTAGGAGGTTAAGTGATTTCTACATTCTCCATGCCCCACAAAATGGGTGAGTCTAGGCATTTAAAAATGTACCAAAAACTTTCATTTCCCACAATTTAAAAACATTGTTTATGTTCCTGATACAACACATTGTTTAAAAGAGGGGAATTGAAAAGCAGTCTGAGTATACAGTAATCGGGGCTAAAGATGCTTTTTATCCCGAGTTCCCCATTTATAAGACCCATTCTGAGCTTCCTGTGATATATTGTTATGTAAATACTGTGCAGCCAGGGAAAGCAGTACTATGGAGATTCAATTTACTTTGAAAGTTGTTCATTATAGCAGGGATGAATGTTATTTATTTGATGTGATTCAAAGGCTGGAAATGACTTTTTCATTGTGGCGCCTTTTGTAATGGGTGCAGGGTGATCTAATCTTTTTAATTTTGGCTTTCACACCAGTGGAGATGAAAAGAGATCTGAACTCATTTATCGGTTGCTAGGTCCTTCTGGAGACCCAAGTCCTGTTCTTGGTTGCTATGGCCAGTCTGACCTCAATCTCTGTGGTTTTGGGGACTTAAGCAGTCTTTTTTTTTTTTTTTTTTTTTTTTTTTTGAGGAGCATGTACCTTGATTTATGTCCAAAATTGTGGCTCAACGTCTTTGTCTGCAAGTGATAAATGGTGCTGAACAATTCATCAGTCCTTACAAGTAAACACCGCTGCCCCGCTAAAAATATGTTTTGTTCTGAGTTAATGGTATGGAACGAGGCAGCCTCCACACACAGCTATCTTTTACTGCGGAGGGGCCTCAGAAACTTGGAGCAAAGTGGAGGAAATTGGCATTCATTTTCTTGTCCATTAGCATTTCATTTGTGATTCGGATGATGTGGCTTTAGGTGCATTGAGGATGAGAGGGTAAATCTTGCACTTTCTTACTTTCTCTTTAGTTGGGGCTGCGTCCGAAACAGGCTTTCTCCAAACGCCTGGGTTCTGCCGGGGCCCTAAGAACTCAGGAGTAATTTCTCCGATGGGGTCGGCCTCCTATTCGCAATTGCCAAGTGCTAGGGCGTAAACAGGCAGATGTGCCGCGGCTCTGTTGCCTTCAGTCTCATGCTGGTTCTTTGAGGCAAAGTTGTATCCAATACTGGTGACTCCCAGGGATGTTCTGCTTCTGTGCTACTTAGTGGTCCCTGGACGTCTTTGCATTCTAGAACCTTGTTAAAAGGAGCCATGGTGATTCAGACGCTGAGGAATATATAGCCGTTCTTAGCAGCTGAGCCCTCATACATTTCCCTGTTCCCTTAAAAACTGCTTAATTGATGCTGCAGGGAGCACACACTCTGCTTTATAAGATGGTGATGACAAAATAGGTATCAGGAAAGGCATTTATTGCTTATAAACGCCATCAGCCTTTTTCCAAGAGAGATTGCGGCTTTTGTAGTGTAGTTTTTTTTTCTTTTAATAGTAATATGCTAATGGTTTGTATTCTAAATCGGCCAGCACTGAGTATCTCCAGGAAAAATGCGTTCTCTAAGAAGTGGCATCCTCCTCGAACTGAAAGGTAAAATTGAACGTTTTTAAAAATACAATTTACAAGCCGTTTCATGTACTTCTCGCCAGTAGCATTAGAAAACTGCTTTCTAAATAAAATTTCAACTATTGTTTTGAACATAAAAGGTTTAAAGAAGAAACTATCTTAGGGAATTTTATTGCTAGCAATTTGCTAAAGATTGGCTAGCTTTTATTAACAAAATACAATTAGGTACTTTGTATGTTTACTTTCAGCCTTAAAAATCAGCAGAGTTTTACATTTTAGAGAAAATGATCATTTTGGGAGTGGATAAAAATGATCTTTATCTATCTTATGTAGATTTTGTTTCTAGAACTGGTAACAAAAACCAGGGTTAGGTGATGTGGATGGCCTCTTCCGTCTTGAAAATTCTTCAGAGTGCTAGTTTTCTGAAAAAAACACATAAGGATGCCTTTATTAGTATAATTGGGCTAATTCAACTAATGTTTAGCTCTTTAGTAGAACAGCAGTTAAAAGTTCTATACTCTGTTGTACAGGTAATATTTGTGGTGGAAGAAATCTCTGAAAAATTGATTTTTGAAGATTTTTTTAAAACTGCTACTTTAGTGCTTTATTAAGAGTGAGGTTTTGCAAAGCTCACTTGTGGCTTCTTGGGTTTCTTACTTAGGTCTTCTTGAAGGTAATACCTTATATGAGTGGTTAATTTCACAAGAAATATTTAATTCCAGGTATCTAAAGACAAATATTCCCCGGTATGTGGTATGTATCTATGTATGTATATGAACATATTTTAATATAAAATGTCTTATAAATTTCACATTGTGTTTTGCTTTGCTGTTATTTCAAAGGATTTAAGTGAATGTTAGATAGCACTCAATTTCCGGAAATGATTAAATTCAGTCTCTGAAGAATCTGGGGAAAAGGCCTGTAATGACATTTTGATGACTTTCATTTTAAGGTGTAATAGAAATTGAGTAAAATATTTTAATAGCTATTCTCTAATATCTCATTCCAAATACAATGTTTTTATTGCTCATTCTAGCTTACAATTTTCTGGTGATAATAATGTTGGCTGGTAATTGTTTATTACACAGAAATCATTTCATCCTTATGTAAAAGTATTTTAGAAAAGGCTTCATGAATTTATCTCAGCTGAAGCAATTGTATTGAACTGTTTAGATATAACAACGAGTATTTCCAGATTCCTCCTATTTTAATTTGATACTTCCTTATAAGACTTAGGTGTAAGTTAAAGGGAGGAACATTACATATGATAGTTTGTAGTTTGAAGAGGAAAAACAATGTCAGGAAAGGCTAACAAAACAGAAGGAATAAATACTATGGTACCACAAAATTGACTTTCCTTCCAGATATCATGTATTTTTTTTAATTTAAAAAAGGATTAGGAAATTAGAAATCTGTGTATAAATATACAGTTATTATATCTATCTTTATTGAATAGGTAAGTGTAGATAGGTAAACTTAATTTGACTGCAGCTAATGTTACCAGAAACATCCTGGCACTTCAATTCTTTCGGGACATGTAGACACAAATAAAGTTAATCACATAGCTTTTACAGAACCAGATCTTTGGGGAACTGGGGTTGTGACGTATTAGATCAATTTTTATGTAAGTCAAAATGAAAACCTTAAATCAGTTTTTCTATGTGTGTTACACAAAGCCATTAGCTTCCAAATTGCATTGTTCTCAATGCTAATTAGAAAAATTGTTATACAATTTAACTTAATTGTAGTGAATATTTAAAGTCAGAATACAATATTATTGCTGAATTAACATGCAGTCAGTGCATTTTTTAATAAAAGTAAAATTAAGCACTAGTATCAGATTATTCTCTCCTAATGTGTTTACTGCATTTCCCTAAGTTTGCTTTCTTTCTGTAATTAATATTCCTTTCCACCTACCAGGGTTACAGAGTAATCAGTTACTCTTTTTGCCTCCTCTAATTGTGGTTTTGTGTTTCTGGTGTGCCATTATTCTTATCTGTCACCTAGAAAGTTATAGTGACTTTGGAGCTATTTGTCTGACCTTTTTGTCTGAGTTTGGGGGAAAAAAAAAAAAGCCCGAAACTTGTTTCATTAGAAATTATGTATAAAGTGCTGAAAGATTTGAGTTGGCCTTGGGATGTTGTTCAAGGAGTTGATATTAAGATGTAGAATATTCCCAGTAGTGGCAAGCTACTGGAATAATTCACTAAAATCTTTCCTTTGCCTCAGTTAGCTTATTTTTCACAAAATAGTTTGTCAAGTGGCAAAACTCAGATTACAGTGAGCATTATCTAGAAAATTTATTATAGAGAAAGAACTGGCAGGGAAGGGGGCCTCTTACACAGCTAATGGAGTCGCCCCAAGTTACTATCCTAGCATGTTGGCAAAGACACATGGTAAAATTTTATCTACTGGTGTTTAGTGTTTAATTACCTCAGAGATCCAACAGCAGAGTTTAATTGGTATAGCCATCAGTCAGATATTTCTGTTTAAATGATACCAGAATGACTTAAGAAAATGAAAGTTTTGCCAAAAGCTGAATTATATACTCTAACAGTCACTAATAATTAACTGAAACATTTAACATTTATTCAGATTAAAATGTGAAACTTGTAATTTGCTGAATGGTGTTTATAATTTTTTTATCAAAAGATGGCCTATATAGACTTACAGTGACCCCAAGTCCTTCTAAAGGTACTAGGCTTTATGATCTTACACTATCTAGTAAACAAAACCTTTTCACATTCTTAATAATATTTCTAAGCGATAATTTATATTCTTGATTTTGCTTGGCATTATTTAAGCATGATGTACTTGTGATTCATAAATCCTTGAATTTCCTGTATTTTTCTGACAATTGAGTTCAAAGTCCGAAAGCAGAGACTAAAATATACCATAAGGCTAGGCGTGTCCTTAGAGAAAGAAAGACAAGGTAGCTTACCATGGCTGGGAACATATGGTGGATAGTTAATTATCATAATCTCAAGGGTTTTAACATAGTTTACTGCAGGCATCTTTGAAAGTGTTGGATTTTCAGGAAATATTTGAAGAAGAATTCAATTTGCTAGAAATTTGAACATGGACATCAAGTAAATTATAAAAGTGTCTTCCCATACGGATTTAGAAAATATTCGTTCATTCAGTCATTCGTTCTTTCATTCAACAAACACTTATTCAGGACCTAGCCTGTGCCAGACCCTACTCCTGTAGCTTTTAATTTAATATTCACCATTGATTCAATTTAATTATTTGCCTGGTTCTGCAGATTATAGAAGTCTCACCAGTTATTCATACATCATCAGTTAATTACAGCACAATCGATGTCATTTGGGAACTTGTATTTCTCTTGGCTATTCTTTAAATGACTTAAAATATATTCTGGACATATATGCCAATTTAGAAGAATATATTGGCAGAATAGTCCAAATGTGTTTTGAGCAGTTATCTTATTGATATGCAGGCCCACGAGATAGTAGATACAGTTGGTTTTATTGCTTTTATGCTTCCTTCCAATGCTTCTTATACTATTTTAAGAGACCTCTAATTCTAATTATAAATAGCTAACATTCATTTTCTATATGCTCGTCAAGGTGCTAAGCCTTTTAAATTTGTTTCCTCATTCAACCCCTTCAATTACGTTACGCCAAAGGTAGTATCACTGTCCCTGCTTGCAGATGAGGAAACTGAGGCTTTAAAAAGTTAAGGAACTCCCTGGAGGTCACAGTAGGCAGCTGAGATGACTTAAAACTCAAGTCTTTCAGGCTCCATTCATTCTTCTGGTCATTCAACAAATATTATTGAGCATTTACGATGTCCTCGGCCACTCAAGATGTTTAGAATAAAGCAGTGGATGTAACAGGCAGGTCTCTGCCCTTAGAACAGGTCCTCCCAAGCACCTTGATACTTTCATTACGTTATTTCCGTTTGCATCTATGGGTTCCCCAGAGCCAACAGGAGAACATTTTAAAATTTCAAAACTTCCTCAGACTTCTCACCCTTTGGCTTCAGTCTTTCTTTCCGATTGCATTATTGCCTATTTCTGAACAGGGCTTTTCTACACTGGAAAGCTGATCTGCTCATTGCCCCACAAAGATTGCCTTGCATTTTCTCTAATCATTCCTGCACCTGAAACACTTTTGCCACTGCTTTCTCAATGCCTCCCATCCTTCAGTGTCTGTGTCAAAGCTCATCTTAGAAATGAAATCCTAAAATTCCTTCATCTGAGTCGATCATTTGACATGTGACATTTGCAACAACTAGAATAACCTGTGGCTAGGTAACATTTCACTTATTTCCTGTGTCCTGGCTGCTTCAGTTTTGGTAGCAGTGGGCTGACATGCTGGCAACGAGTTCAGACAACCAGCAGTAAAATAAGTAAGACTCAGTAAAACTAGAAGTCTTGGAAGCAGGAGCCCCACTGCCTAGCACAGCACCTGCCATAGATCATACAGTTAACAGGCATTTGAGGCTGGGAAAGAGAGGACTGAAAGAGGGAGAGATGGACAACAGAAAGAAAGTTAGCAGGGAAAAAGAAAATAATATCCTTAAATTTATATCTGAGGGCCTTTAAAGATTTTTAAATATTTAATAAGGGTCAGGGATCCTATTAAGGAATATATACATACATACAATAATCTTTTTTTTTTTAGTGGAGTTACTGGGGATTGAACCTAGGACCCCGTGCATGCTAAGAATGTGCTCTACCACTGAACTATACTCTCACCTCTACACAATAATCTTGACTTTCAAATATGTTTTTGCTTCTTCTGAGAATAAATTGTCACTCATCAATATTAATAAATTAGATATATAATGAACTCTGTGGTGTTTCTGAAAGAAAGTGCAGTTGTGGTGTGTTTGTATTTGTTTTCCATCACTTTTCAGGCCCATGATGCAGCAGACTCTAAGTAGATTTTATTGTTTTATGCTGAATATGATTATTTTTATATCCTGGGAGCATTTTTCATAGAAATTGCTGACCCCCCCCCAAGAGCTATTCTCTTAACCATCATAAAGTTTCATTA